TAAATAAGAAATACCCTAAATGGTTGTATTTATCTTATTTTGGGATTCAAATTTGTTGTTTCTGCCTTAAAACGTAATGCTGAGGATGATATATATATATATATATATATGCAATAAAGTATGTTGTACCTCCTGCGTTTGAAATAATATCCCCCACTTGTTATACTCTATATAACCCACAAGAAGACTAGAGATTTTGTGTTCTATATACCAACAAGAAGAATAGATATTTTGTGTTCTATATACCAACAAGAAGAATAAATATTTTGTGGTATATACCCACGAGAAGAATAGGGATTTTATGTTCTATATAACCACAAGAAGACTAGAGATTTTGTGTTCTATATACCCACGAGAAGAATGGAGATTTTGTGTTCTATATACCCACAATAAGACTAGAGATTTTGTGTTCTATATACCCACAAGAAGACTAGAGATTTTGTGGTACATACCCACGAGAAGAATAGAGATTTTGTGTTCTACATACCCACAAGAAGAATAGAAATTTTATGTTCTATATACCCAGAAGAAGAATAGAGATTTTGTGTTCTATATACCAACAAGAAGAATAGATATTTTGTGTTCTATATACCCACGAGAATAGAGATTTTGTGTTCTATATACCCACAAGAAGGCTAGAGATTTTGTGTTCTATATACTCACAAGAAGAATAGAGATTTTGTTCTATATACCCACAAGAAGACTAGAGATTTTGTTCTATATACTCACAAGAAGACTAGAGAGTTTGTTCTATATACTCACAAAAACAATTGTCAGTAAAATGTATGGTTTCTTTCATAGGATTAAAAAAATTAGCTCTATGTGATATTCCATGTTTACTTTCTCCTTTAGTAATGTAGATTTCTTATCCAGATATGTTTTGTTCTTTTAGGTAAGAATAATCATCACATAGTTACGTGGTCAAGAGTGTCATTAAGGTGCTTTCGCTTTAGATACCTATTGTTCTGTGTCATTCCCCTGAAATAACACCTGGTCTGTTTACGAGCAAGATAGCTGTAAGGTTTCACTTTTCACCAACCGTATGTCAGGTGACATCTCGAGGCTACAACTACAACCTCCGTGATTTTCTTAGAGAGTAAGATGTCCCGCGATGCTTTTTATGACTGGGACATATTTTGTCCAGATTGTTTAGAGATTTTGGAAAAGATGCTGCTTTAAGGTCACGCGCTAACCTTCTCCAATAAATTCGATTGTCTTATTTTGATACTACACTCCATAAATACTATATACACATCACCATTATAAGAGGCTTAACTGCGTTTCTTTGGTTTACTGACCCAAGCTGTGCAGGTGAGTCTTAAATTGGCGAAACTGCAGTCTTCAGCAGACGGGGCGGCGAATCAAAGAATGCATTAAGCCTTACGTTACAGAGGGTGCGGCGAATCAAAGAATGCATTAGGCCTTACGTCACAGAGGGTGCGGCCAATCAAAGAATGCATTAGGCCTCTACGTCGCGGATTATATTTCCTATTTGATCTTTGTCGAAAAGTAAAGACATCTGTAACTCTATTTATGTACTAATGATCCGTTTTAGAAATACATTATTGTAAATTGTTGTTATCTGTACAAAATTAGCGTAATTAATTTTCTTCAATGTATTAACAGGTTCCAGCAGAAGGAGCATATTTATACGACGCTGTTTACGTATACGCTCGAGCACTCAATGACTGTTTAGCTGATGGCCAGGACCCTTTTGATGGGAAGCTCATTTTCGACTACATGAAGCGCAGAACGTATCAAAGTAAGTTTAATTACATGGTTAAATTTAATGATTTGTCTTAATTATCTTCATCAAAATTCATATATATATATTTATATATTAGTTCAACTATTATATAATTCAACTACACGATTTTTTTTTCATTATTAATAAAACATTAACACTTTCTCCTTAATAGTATCGGATCTAAGAATGTTTCATTTTCTGTATTGTTAAGAAAACCATTATATTTAAGATTCGTTGATGGATTGTTTAGGCATAGTATTCATAATCCGCCTTTCGTCTTCAGGTCAGTGTGTGTGTGTGGTGTAGTCGGTCTTTATAGTGTTCTTAGAGAATCAAAATGTCGTCCTCTACACTTGTGTCTCTACAACATGCAGTTGTCGTCCATTCAATAAAGTTTCGTTATATTCAATATATCAGAATTCAGAATAATACACGTACTTTAATTTATTCAATTTTCAATTGAATATATTTTCCATTTCTTTTAGCTCAAGTTCGAATTATAGACAACAATAGATGTAACACATTAAATCCAAGAATCACTTTTATCATTTAAATAGAATATTAGTTGTATAAAGGCATTCATTCAGCATAGATAGTACTCTAAGCGTAGAATAGTTAATATTATACTTGTTTTAAGTAGTCTTTGTTCTAAACGTGTGTAATCAGACTGAAAATTGTTTGGAAAATGGAACAACTATATGAATGTCTGAAAATATAAGGCGTCAGGCTAGAGCTGCCATATACGAACACGAACCGAGTGTATTTAAATAAGACGACTTTATTTAAGAGCTAATACTTTGAAATCAATATTTTTCTTCAAAAATATAGAATTTTTATGTTCATGTCAGTACTTAAAACACGTGTTTACACGTCATTCAGTACGTTATATTGAAACGATATCGAATTTGCAAGGCAGAAAGTCACGTGAAAACACAGCTGGTAGAAATTTGCGGTCGGATGGAATGTATCAGAACTACATTCTGGTATTGTTTGGCGTTGCGTAGGTAGTGCGATGCAAACTAAAATACATTGCTTTTTGGGAAGTTTGTGACAGCCTTTTTGACATAAGATATTTATACACTTAGATCATAAAATTGTGTTTGGATCTGGATTTAGAATTTCCAAGATGGTAGTATCCCTTGTACTTAATGGCATTGGAAAACAAAGGAATATAGATCAACATGGGGCACCAGGACCATCCAGAAAGAAACCTACAACAAGTCTTACCTCAGCCGTGTATGAAAAGTGCAGTGTCTTGTAGGAAGTTCAGTGACAAAAGTCGTTCATGTGTCCGAGGCAACAGTACGTAACACAATCAAGAAAAAACTCTGTCCGAAAAATCGACATAAATCAGGTGTAGATAACCTGCTTTGTTAACATATTTGTTCTACTGACGCATACTTCAAGTAGCTGGAGAATGAAACGGGTATTTCACGCTATTCCATACGAAGACATAGCGGTTGAGCCATTGAACGCGGCGCCTATAGATTTCTGTGTAATCGAACTGTTGAAACGAGCGCTGGGAAACTGTCAGCCTCATACACTAGATTATGGAAAGCACGCAGGGGGTAGTGATAGGCTTTTGGCATCACAGTCTTCTAACGGGGCCTTTAGCAATGAAACTTACGCTGCAGGGTTATTGTCAAGATGCACTGCCTTCAGGTAGAGTCCGACCGGACTTCTCGACATAGAGCCACAACCAAGTAGTGAGGCTTATTGTTTAAACATAATGTACTCAACTTTTGTATACTAGTAACTTTCAGTACAATCATCCAGCAAAAGAGATCAACACTATTAATCAATAATGTTTTATGGTGTACACTTGTAGATTTTTTATCATCTTTGTAATTGCTCTTCTCAGTATTTTGTATTTGTATAAATTAATTAATCGCAACTTATTAAAAACACCTTTTGTAATAAGTGAATTATTTTAACGTAACTAATTAACGTGCTTGATCTACGTGAAATGGGTTACAGTATCTATAACGTACTTGGTCTACGTGCAATGGGTTACATTGTCTATAACATGCTTGATCTAAGTGCAATGGATTACATTGTCTTGCCTATAACGTGCTTGATCTAGGTGCAATGGGTTACATTGTCTTGTCTATAACGTATTTGATCTAGGTGCAATGGGTTACATTGTCTTGTCTATAACGTATTTGATCTAGGTGCAATGGGTTACATTGTCTTGTTTATAACGTGTTTGATCTAGGTGCAATGGGTTACATCGTCTATATGGATGAAAACGGAGACGCTGAAGGAAATTACACCGTAATCGCTAGGAAACCAATACCCGGTGTTCCAGGAGAATACGGTGTTTTTCGTGTTGGAGTGTTCATGCTTCCAGAAAATAGCAGTGGTATCCCGGTATGTCTTCTTAGTGAATTTATAATGTTTCTCACAGCTGTACAGAATGTATTAGAATAATTGGACTTTATAACTATTTGCGTTTCACAATCAATGATTTAACTCATAGGATCAAAGAAAAAGTAAACACAGTTTAGCATAATTCAGTAAAATAGTTCTCAAGATGGCTGCTATGGTAGAACTCTGTATCTCGGAGCTGGCGATCCGGGATCGAATCTGTACTATATTACAAACTATTTACCGCACTTTAAGCTGTAGGTACATAACAAGAGTAGGCTGCTACTGGCTGGCTGTCTTCTCTCTGGTCAGTGGTTCAAAATTAGGGATTGTGGCAGATAGCCTAAGTAGCAATGCCATAATAAAAAACAATGTTGCCCTGAGAAACATTGAAAAACAACTCGAAACACATAAGAACTTTAATATCATAATAGTTGTATGTCATATATAACCAATGAAAGATCTGTGAAATGTCTGAGGGAAAATTCTATATATTCGATGAGAAGTTAAACGGTGAGGTAAATGTAAAAAAATTAGATATGTATACTCTACTCTGTAAGATTGCTTTATTGAGACGACTTAGTACAAGTATTTATCAGTTACAGAACTGAGAGTGGAAGGAAAATCCTTTTTTTCAACAAAGTGCATTTGGATTTTGAAACAATCTGTAGTTTTGTCGAGTATTGTTTTGTAAAACTAATAATAGGTTCCAATAACAGGGTACAGTAGACTCAGTATGTAATGTATAAAACTAATAATAGGTTCCAATAACAGGGTACAGTAGACTCAATATGTAATGTTCGAAGAACTAACAGTGAATAGAAAATTTAACTTTTTACATGGAATTCATTAGGTACTTAGAAAGGTTTGTAGCATTTTTAAACACTAGTCTGTAAATATCAATACTAGGTGCTCCACCTGGAGGACACAGTGGACTGGGTAGGTGATGGACCACCAAAAGACGGACCTGAGTGCGGATTCCAAAATGAAAAGTGTGTTAGTAAGTTAAGTTTTTTCTTAAAGTATCATCGATTGTACGTTTCAGTAATTAGACCATATTAAGTCGAACATTTAAATACTGATAATTTAGCCACAAGGTGGCAGTAAAACTAAATTCGAACAAACAGAATTCAGTTTTAAGGAAACGCTTTTGCCTAGACAAATATATTACTTAACTAAAATCTTATAGAAGCATCCGATTTTAAGATAACCGCATAACAAGTCCGAATATCCATAAGATAAACAGCTGAAGAAACGTTTAATATCCATAAGATAAACAGCTAAAGAAAAGTTTGATATTCATAAGATAAAAAGTTGAAGAAAAGTTTAATATCCGTAAGATAAACAGCTGAAGAAAAGTTTAATATCTATAAAATAAACAGCTGAAGAAAGGTTTAATATCTATAAGATAAACAGCTAAAGAAACGTTTAATATCCATAAAATAAACAGCTAAAGAAAAGTTTAATATTCATAAGATAAACAGCTACAGAAAAGTTTAATCTCCATAAGATAAACAGCTGAAGAAAAGTTTAATATCTATAAGATAAACAGCTAAAGAAAAGTTTAATATTCATAAGATAAACAGCTAAAGAAAAGTTTAATATTCATAAGATAAACAGCTAAAGAAAAGTTTAATATCCATAAGATAAACAGCTGAAGAAACGTTTAATATCCATAAGATAAACAGCTGAAGAAAAGTTTAATATCCATAAGATAAACAGCTGAAGAAAAAGTTTAATATCCATAAGATAAACAGCTAAAGAAAAGTTTAATATCCATAAGATAAACAGTTAAAGAAAAGTTTAATATGTTTATCTTATGAAGCTAAAGAAAAGTTTAATATTCATAAGATAAACAGCTACAGAAAAGTTTAATCTCCATAAGATAAACATAAAGTATTATAGTAACCTATAAACAATGAACAAAATACGGTTGTTAGATATTATAAAGTATTATACAAACCTATAAACAATGCACAAAATAATGAGCAACAGCAAAGCCACTCCTCCTGTTCCACCAGCAACTCCTCGCCATACAAAACCTAATAATTAACAATACATTTATATATATCAGGCGAGTAAGAACCATAATAATAATCAAGAAAAGATAGAAAAACAAGCAAAGTAAAAAAAAAATACATAACTTAGGTTAACCACAAATTACCCTGTTTGATATTTGTCGGTATTGAGGAATTAACAGCACTCAATACCTAGATCTGTAGTAGAACTAATAAATGAATAAGGTAGGTTGAAAGATGTGTACGTGATGGATGTGTACGTGAGCATCTTTAATTATTCCTTGCTTGCATACATAAACCGTTGTAGAAATAGTGTTATAAAATGATACAGAAGCTGTTTCGTAAGCCTTTTACAAGGAGGTCTGTTTGAGCTAAGAGGAAGTGAATGATTCAGTGTAAACGTTTCTTCAGCTGTTTATCTTATGGATATTAAACGTTTCTTTACCTGTTTATCTTATGGATATTAAACTTTCTTTAGCTGTTTATCTTATGGATATTAAACTTTTCTTTAGTTGTTTATCTTATGGATATTAAACATTTCTTTAGCTGTTTATCTTATGGATATTAAACGTTTCTTTACCTGTTTATCTTATGGATATTAAACTTTCTTTAGCTGTTTATCTTATGGATATTAAACTTTTCTTTAGTTGTTTATCTTATGGATATTAAACATTTCTTTAGCTGTTTATCTTATGGATATTAAACTTTTCTTCAGCTAATATCTGACAACCGTATTTTGGTCATTGTTTATAGGTTTGTATAATACTTTATAATATCTAACAACCGTATTTTGGTCATTGTTTATAGGTTACTGTAATACTTTATAATATCTGACAACCGTATTTTGGTCATTGTTTATAGGTTTGTATAATACTTTATAATATCTAACAACTGTATTTTGGTCATTGTTTATAGGTTACTATAATACTTTATAATATCTAACAACCGTATTATGGTCATTGTTTATAGGTTACTATAATACTTTATAATATCTAACAACCGTATTTTGTTCATTGTTTATAGGTTACTATAATACTTTATAATATCTAACAACCGTATTTTGTTCATTGTTTATAGGTTACTATAATACTTTATTATATCTAACAACCGTATTTTGTTCATTGTTTATAGGTTACTATAATACTTTATAATATCTAACAACCGTATTATGGTCATTGTTTATAGGTTACTATAATACTTTATAATATCTAACAACCGTATTATGGTCATTGT